TTTAAACCTCATTTCCTTATACCTAATTCATCTGTTTTGGATTCGTATCTATCAGTACTAGACAATCTTTTTCCAGACAGTCGGGATGTGCTGGGATGTCGGAACGGTTGCGATATGAATGATGATCATTACTTATCCTACCATACTTGAGTTTTATTTGTACTAGGCCTATTACAGTATTTAGATTAATTTATACCAATCACAACAGCACAACTATCTCATTTTAGCCAGCCAGCCAATCCGACGTATCAAGTCGAAAGGACAGGAAAAATATGTGTATGTCTATTCAAAAATTAAGTGATGGACATATCACTTGCATTTTTGCAAGACATCCGACAAGGATGGGACTAGAAAAGCTCAAGCCCGGAAAAACAAAACGCGAAAAGGCAGCGGCAATTGTGGCGTTCAAGACTTTTGTTTAGAGTGAGTCAGTAGATGTAGATTGTGTAAGAGGTTGTATTGAGAAAAACGATAGTGGAAAGTGCTTCGTGTCTATCTTATATATGATTGGTTTGTATCTTGCCTTTAATGAAGGCAAGAATTGTAAGCAACTTGCCCGGAATACTACAATGCCGTGTTATAGACAGTCTAAAAAGTGACTTTTCTAGCTCTTCCCGCGCAGAGACACATTGTTGAAGCAAAATTGATTAGCATGAGGAAGACGTTTGACAATTTTTGTCTGCAAAGAGATGGCAAGATTGTGTGTAAGGCACCACCCTGCCCTAACACCGATTTACGTAGGTTGGTGCTTTATGTGTGTAAGAATGCGTCTACTTCAAGCGATCTTTAAGACGCAGCGCTACTGTGTATGCGACTTGTGGTACCTGATCGTACGCGCGTCTATCTTGTCGCTCGTGCAGAAGCAGAACGTCACCATTGACGCCGCCGGCGTCCTCTTCGTGCGCTTCATCCGGATCAAGACACCCGAGGAGCAAAAACGCTCGCTGTTTTCTGATCTTAAGCTCGTCACTTGCCCCGTGTACGCCATAGCTCTTGCGTTCTTGACGCAGGGGACTCCATGCATCGACATGCTGGATAACCTGCCAACACTGCCTGTCGAAGCTGCCGCCTCCTTGTCCCCAACCACGCCGCTTGTGGAAGTACTGGACCACTCTGACGCGTACACCGCTCTTAGAGCTGCTGCTACCACCGTGACGACAAGTTTCGCTGCTGCCGAGAAGAGACCGACCATCTACTCGCACGTCGATCGAGTGCTTGACCGGATCGCTGCGGTCGCTGGCGTTGCGGTGCCCCTCTCGTCCGACTCCTTTCAGTGGGGGAGCACAGCATGTCAATGGATGTGACGGACTCACACACGACTAGATCTTCGACCGTGGTGCCTGGAGCATGAGCACAACGAGCAAGGACATCAGTTATATCTCCAGCACAAGCCGCGAAGATCACAAGGTTAATAAGGCTCTCAGTGGATACAACACCACCGCTAATGTGCCTTTGAAGGACTTACACGCGCTCACGCACGAGAAATTTGAAGTTATGCGGGCGTACCTATTCGCAATATGTCTCAAGCTGGATCAAGTGAAGTACAGCGTGAGTCAGCGTGTCCTTGATGTGTTAACGGCTTACCCTCTTCTCCACTATCCGTAGATGAAGGAAGTCCATCCAGAGGGGCCAGCGGTGAAGCGCTTGGAGACCTGTGTACGACTGGCAGGATCGTCGCTTGCGGACTTGCTTGCTTGGGCGACCCATCTTGCTGGCACTGCCTACGAAATGAACCTGGCCACAGTCGACAGGGAAACCACATCACCCAAGCAGCTGCGTCACGACAACACGTTTATTGAACATCAACGTAGAGTGATTGACCAATAAGTTCATCTATTGAAGCACCAAAATGAACACATGGATATCCCAGTAGCTACAATGGAAGGCAACAAACAGACTGACAATCGTCAGCTGAATCACGATCAAGACCAAGAACCAAGCAGTTCACTTAAGTGTCGACTAGCCTCCGTAACTCACCTGCACGTACTCGTGGTATGCTCAGGAGCCTCTCTGGCTTCTACTGCGCCAAGCAGCAGCGCTCGAGCGCAAATTAGCTCGTCGCATACATGAAACGCTTCAGTACTGAAGGCGTCGTTCTAGACCCAACTGCTGGTGACTTCTGCGACAGAATTCTTGCCCTGGGCAAGCAAGCCGAGACAGAGAAGCTGGGCCTCCTCCGCAAGCGTACGATTACTTCACGGGGATCGACCTCTGCCCACAAGCGCCTTCAAGACCTTCACGCTGCTGGTGCGCTTAACTACCTGATCGCGCACCACCGCAAGCACATTCAAGCCAGTACTGTCAAACACCCCGATCGGCAAGAAGTGCTTGGGCCTGTGCCTACGACACTTTAGGACTCTAAGAAGCCAGGAGCATACATCTGTAATGCATATTCGTACATCACAATTTGCAATACCACATTGAATTACAGCAAACAAACCTGGTAAATCAATCGGCGTATTGCGATTACAAACAGGTACTGCATGGATTCTAACCCCGAAGCAAAAACAATGGCGACGGCTAAAATCGAACCAGCTATCCCCGAAAAAGTACCTCGTGCTCACCATGAGCTTCGTCGTCGTGGAGGTGAGGAGAGGGGAGTACCGTAGACAGCACCAGCTGACTAGGTGAGGAGGACGTCGGAGCTTCAGGAGCTCTGCGTAGTAGTACAGAAAAGTAGACGAATTAGCCGCGGCTGTAGCTGTCGGCGACAAAGTGCGGTGTGTGCGTGGCTAGAAATCTCTTTCTGGGTGTGCCTGTGTGTACAAAATGGTATCATTTCCTTGGTGGAAACTTGTCCACTGAAGAGTGTGCAGCAGTGACTGGCTGTCAGCTTTCTCTCTTATCTGGACATACGCTATTTATCCGGATCCTCTGGATGATGGCCCTCTTTTGTTTTTACCAGCTCGAGCGTACATAGCTCTCAAACATAATTTGCATGGTCTCATTTTTTTTGCGATTTTCTCTGCTTACAGGCCGTTTCAGGCGATTCTGAGTCGCCTATAAACTTGACACATTACACTCCCTTCTGCATCTCAATCATGTTTTGATATCCATCGCACACCATCTAAACACAATAATTACCGTTAGGTACCGTAATTGTCAAATAGAGTCGGCTGATTTTTTTTTCGTTTGATGTACACATTTTTGCCACAAGGTCCTACAGTCGGATAAATTTTGGTATGCTCGTGGTGACAGCAGCTAGAGTGCAAACGAGCTAGCCCATCAGTATTGATATCTAGTAGTTATCGACTTAAAACTAAAATTGAGGGCACAGAAATTGACCGCCCCCATCGTAACCAGATATCTCTCCATACAAAAACCTAGACATTCAGGACTAAAGCCATTCCAGCTCGATACTTCGTGTGGTCACTCCTTCACCACATCAAGGCGCTTGGGTATTAAGCGTACAGTCTTACGAGCTGAATCGTCATCAATGGTAGACCAAATGCGCTGCAACTTCACCTGTAAGTCCTCAAGCGAAGAAGCCGAAGACCTGCTGAGCTCACGCTTCATCTCCGACCAGAGGTTCTCGATAGGGTTCGAGTCCGGGCTTTGCAGGGGATGGCTCAAGCTGGTCAGCATGATCGCCTTCAGGCACTTAGTGATAGCTTTAGCTAGGAGCTCGTTTTATTTAAAATATCTCCATATTCGGTCTTTTGACAGTAATCGTGATAATTGTAAGTTTAAACAAACAATTTTTTACATATTATGTAGACTAGTCAGAACGATTAGTACGTTAGCTCAATTTACGTAGCTAACGTGTACAGCAACTAACATGTCAGCTTACAAACAGCATATAAAATGACCTCGTTTAATATGTCCACATAGTGTTAGTTTTATGGGAATTTATGATTGTGTAGGTCAGTACATGCACATGAGCCTTTGCAAAATGTTTATTTCGAGATATCATTTTATTTTTGCCTCCTCTACAGGTGTCATTCTCTTGCGAATTAGATAAAAGTGAAAACAGATTTGCAGTTTAGAGCACATTTTCCAGTGAACAGTAGCGACGTGCTCTATTCGACGCAGTATGCTAATATAAATAATATGTTAGCAAACTAATATATATGCAACAACATTACAAATTTTCACTATTCTCTAAAACGGTGAAACGCTAGCTGTGCTGGTATCGCTGGAAGCGCAGCTTGCATGTGGTCTGTGGGGGTAGATTGCACCAGCCCTTAACGATGATGGCCACCTTTTCGCTTGGCTTGCCCTCATCGAGCAGCTCGAGACAAGGATAACTGGGATTTTATTTGCGAGTTTGCAAGATTGTGGATCAACAATTGCTCATACAAAATATAAAATGTACTAGACAGGCTACAGTTATTTTGAAGTGGCAAAGCCTACAAGATCAACCAAGTCTTTACTGTAGTCACGCCACCTCAACGGAAAAAGAAGCACCCACACAACCACGACGAAGCAGGTTGACCGCAATATCCGTACGGGTACTTTGGGAGATTCTGTCCTGCCACCTCCTCTGATGATTTGTCGCCAAACGCGCTTTTTGAAACGTTCAACAAGGATGTTGCGGTGTCTAAAAGACTCAGCACAAATAGCGCACTGCACTATTGCATGATCTAATCTACAAAGTGCTCAATCAATTTAAAAAAATCATCATTCAAAATCAAAGACCTGCGTAAGAATATATCTACCGATCTATTTTGTAGGAAATGATGTCATGACTAGAAGTAAGAAGTAACGCATGGCAGTATTTTCGCCCACTTGTATTCATCTGCCCTCACTTCCAATTTGGTGCTATGCCAAACAAGACCTACCCTCTTCACAAGCGAGAGTGCGTGCTGCGTGTAGCCAAGGGGGCTGGCAACTAAAATGAGGTGACGGCTCTGTATGACGTCAACGAGAGAATGTCGTGGGGATTAATGAATTTCGCAATGGACATGGGGGACTGGAGCGAACGTCAACAGTGAGGAGGCTTCACCAAGGAGCTGGCGGACTGGCACATTGATTACAGATAACGACATAATTGTACGGCATCAATCTATAATAAATTATGCGACTGGCCGACATTTATTTAAATCAATAATTTGATTGGTCGAAAAGATATTCTCGAACAAAAAACTGATAGAAAACCGAAGTCTGCAAAAAGAAGCTTTTTTGTAAATGATAATCTCAGAATACTAAGGATTATCCTTTTACAAGCTACAAATTACGGTCTTCACCGGAATGTCGCTCCAGGCGTCAACTGCCGCCCGTATTACACGAATACGGTTTTGTTTGGCGGTACCGCCCGTTATGGCAGACCAATTGGTCCACATTTTCACTGTAGGGCCCCCATAACACCGACATCTACTGACTAGCACACTGATGAGCTGCTCACAGATAATGAAAGTATAGTGGCGCTATCTTCTTCAGCTACAGCTCGCTGTCGAGCTTCTGACACTTGGCATCCAAAGTTGTTTAAAAGCGGGACAGTGGGTCCTTCTACCTCGTACTTTAGCAACTTCCTAGCGTAAATTTCCCAAGTTATAGTCTCCAACCAGGAGCTTTCCTACACAGTCAAAATTCCCCGGCAGATAATCTTGGCGCTCGTTGGCTTCAATTCGATCCCCCAGCGTGCCACATACAATCAATAGACTGGGTATTTGATTATACTAAGAATAAAAAATAAAACGAAATAAAGAACAAAAAGTAAAACAAATACCTCCGCACGACTTGTAAGCACTGCCGTCATCCGCCCTTCCTTCCTTGACGTGTTAGCCTGTCGTGCAGCATCACGTCGGCCCCGACCAGCCCAAATTCGTGAGGTGCCCGGCATGCCGAAGCTATTGGCGTTTTCATCAACGTTTAAAATTTCAGACGACCCATTAGCTCCATAGGTCCTAAAAAACTCGCAAACTAGCCCAGCACGAGTTTCCTCCAAATACCCTGTACTCTTCATCGTAGCTTCGGGCATCTGCTACGTAAACCCATGTCTAAAAACGCAAATGTGTCAAATATCACACTATTCTTTCTTAAAACATTTTTTATAACCCACCGGTTTGCGAGACGTCACACATGTACTGTAGCGCTAGGAGTCCACTCCTCTAGTTTGCCATGTAGTTTGTCGCCCAGTCAGGTTCGGTGTTCCGCATGTTCTCCATTATGCCGTGTGTCGTAAGAGCTTAATTCTCACAAATTATTAAAAGGAAGCAAAACACTTATTATAAATACATTGCATTATCGACTCACCAGCTTGTTACGCCGCTTGTCTTTCATGGATGGCAGAGACGTCGGGCAACAGTTTCTTACGTCTCTTCCCTTCATCGTCTTGGAGGTGACGTGGCCAATGAAACTCATCAGCTTGTCGGCCTGCTGCCACCACCCGTGGGCGGTACAGCGAGCGCACAGTAGCTCGCGGGCTACCTCCTGCACCCCAACCTCTTGCATCCGGCGGACAGTGTCCCACTTCTCGCGAATTTTGTAGCTTCGTTGCTTCTTCTTCTAGGGGAAAGGTCCTCCATTTTGTACAATGAAAAATAATCAAGTCACGCAAAACAAATTAGGTGCAGGTTTACCATAAGAATTTAATTTTTATCAAAAGACGATTGGATAGTTATTGTTTTTTTTTAACTTTGATTGGATAATAATTGCTACTACATCCTCTGTTTCAGATTACTTGACTAGATGGTGCTGAATTATTGGTTTGATTCGTGGAATATTTGTAGTTTCAGCATCCGATTGGCTTATTAAATCCCATTAGTGATGACCTGGCAAGTATTTTGTCGTTGTTCCGCGAGGTTTTAATTTTTAACGCAGATAGAGTGCATTTAAGTAGATCTAAAAGTACAGTCAGGAGCGCATAATCGCGCTGATTATTCTATGTGCGTTTTGCATGTGGTCTCAGCCAAACATTTGCCAGCGCGCTAGGAGAACTAAAATTTGGTTAAATAATCTGAAACGGAAGGAGGATTTACTATAGAGCGGCGATGATTTTTTTGCTATTCCTTTGCCGGCTTTATCTGTCGCTGTCTATATCCGCTCGGCGAGCTAACACCTGAGCTGACACTGGTTCAAATGTCGGAGCGCATCGAGCAGAAGTTCGACGTGACTGTTGGCCCGATAATTCGCTAGGTGTGCACTAGATGGCCGCTACCAATACCCCCACCAACGAGCAAAAGTGATACGACTACACCCTCAAGCTCTACGATGCTCTGGCCATCAGCAAAAAGATCCTTTATCCAGATAAGACTAGGCTCAGCCTGTGATACTCGCGATGCCGCGGGCGGAGCGCGCGCAAACAGCGGGCTGTTTAAACCACCGATGCAGGTAAGGGCAAAGTTATCCATGTTATTGCTATAATTTCAAGCACGGTTCTTGCATACCACAAGTCTCTATTTGAGTTCTTACATAGGATCTTACCAAACAATTTGAACGCCGATTTTTGCGCTACATCAAGGCGATTTCACCATTACGCGATGTTGTACTCGTGCTTGATAACGCCCCTGCCATACAAATACTAAGAATGCGTTTGACGAAGAGGAATTCGAAGAAGGTGCTAAGGCTGGGGCCTAATTCTTGCTGAACCCTATCGAGAATGTGTTTTTAATAAGTAAAAAACCCGCCGCCAAACGTTTCCTTGCTCGGCAGCGCGCTGTTATTTGGCGGGTTCCGGAGGGCATTACAATTACGAATATCGGGCAGATGTTTTGGAGCCTGTGGCTGACCCACTTATGTCTAGGTCGACCCACGATTTAACGCTCCAAATTATTTTGTACCTCAAAGATTTAGGCTACTCTTAATCTGCTTCAACTTCACTTTACCGTTAGCAAATACAGCAGGGTCGCAAACAATTGAGCTCCGTATAAGTTTTAATATACCTCTTGCTGACGCGCACTTGCGGAAAGTCATTGTTGCCTTTGTGCGAAATGATACATTCCATAACCTTTTGCAGCGCAATGAAACATCTAACCAGCGTCCGACTTAGTGGCAACTGAAACGTAGCCATCGCCGCGCCAATATCATGAGTAGGTTGTCGATACTGCACCCATCGAATAGAATTAAAGATACCAAGATCTTAAATGTTCATGTCTGGAGATTTTGCAGGCTGGAACTCCATATGAATGTGTCATCCTTCTTCTTCGGCAGCCTGGAGCACCACAGGTCTTGCCGCTGCGGCGTGTAGACTTGCTTTTTCATGTTGAACACGGATACGACGACGGTTTTTCAGCCTGTTTACATATACAAACCGTAATTAGATACGGTGCCTGACCACACAGCTTGAACAGCCAGGAAAACCCTGTTAATGAGCGTTTTTGCATACTCATCTGATGTCACGGAAACGTTTTTTTGTCTCCCAGACTCCAGCCAATCGATTGACGGATGTTCACTGAGCTTGTATACGATCAACTATCGGCCAGATACCGAATTTACCACCGAAATAGGTACGTCGATAGAAGTCGTAGCGTGACCGAGCCACAGCGCTAGAAACATTACCTTGCCAGTGTATTTGTTTTGACTCGTGTATGATGCGGAAGCTTTTCCGTAGGTGACATTTAATAATGCGTCGACCCCTTCTACATACTAAACCATTTTTCATCGATATGTACAACGCCGTACGTATCGACGAAGCGAGGCTGTCTGAGACCTACAATATCAAAACCAGAGCACGTCAAAATTATAAATTAACAATTGATAAAAAATAAAAAAAAAGTGTTTACCGGGTAAATGACAAACGTGTTTTGTGATTTGTCATGTTGTAATAGGGCATTGACGGTGGTTGCCGAGGAGTCAAGCAGTAGAGAGTACGTGGGAGGTATTGGGTACGTCAGTGAAGTGAGCGGTTACATGGCGTCAGTTGGTGTGGCGAGCGGAGACCTCCAGAAGCGACGCGTGAGAGTTGCGAGCCAATCAGGAGTGACCAAAGATCGCAACACGAACCCAACGTGCAGAGGAAAAGCGACGTGAAGACGGAGAGCGGTGAGACTTCGAGATTTGCGCAGGAGAGCAGTAGCAGATTGAATCTCACTTCGAGATTTGCGCGGTCGAGCACAGAGGCGAAGTAACTGCGAGTACGGAGAAGTGCGAGGTAGTGAGTAGGGTGCACGAAGCGGTCAGAGGACCAACACGAGAAGAGAGAAGGAGAAGAGAGAGAAGAGGTGCGATTGGACGGACGATCGGTCGTCAGTGCATTGGTGGACGCGTGGGGCAACGACAGCGACGGGCGACGAGACCAGGAGGAGAGGACCCTCCGAGTTACTGTGTGGCTGCGAGCCGTAGGGTAGGCGCCAGAGGCGTAATCCAAGTGGCTTTAGTAAGCGAGGTTTAGTGGGACCCGAATCGTCGGTGCTTTGCGTGGACAGAGTTGTGCTGGGGGTGGATTAGAAGGACAGGAGCACGGAGAGTGGGCGCTCGATAAGTTACGGACGCGTGGCGAGTCGGAAGCGTAAGAGTGAGTAGCGGTGTATTCCGGGAAAGAAGGCCCAGAGAAGAACCGTGGCAATAGGTCGAGAGTTGAGAGGGTGAGTCAGGTGAGTGATAGCTTGCCATCGAGAGCGAGTTCGCGGCTGCTAGTCACAACAGGCCAGAGTCACAGGAGTTGAGGAGGGAAGTAAATAAAATACGGACGAGAGTCCCGGCACCTTTGCGAGGGGCCTACAGAGTGTGTGAGTTGCATTGAGACGGGCTACCCAACAAACCGAACTACTGGTAGTCCACCGCAGGAAGCACAGACAATATACGATCCGCCAGCAACGGGGCGTAAGCGGGTTGTCACAATGTAATTGAGAGCTGCATGCTTATGAGAATGTTTGTGATGTAGAGGCCGCTGTGCTACGCTTACGTCGGGCGAAGATGCTTGGACAGCACAGGAGCTTTTGTCTCGGCCACAAGAGTCGACACAACCCTTCGTTATGCTGTATACAAATTTTTACATATATACACACCCACCTGACCCACTATAAGGTGCAGAATCTGGATAAACGTCCATTCTTGGTGTCAAAAATACGTAATTCGCAGTTGTTTGGTCGTAATTAGGCCTTTTCTGAAGTCTGGATTCAGCCTTATATTGCGCTGTGGATAATCCATGAAATCTTAGTCCATGATTGGTCGGATCGACAAACAGATGTTTTTTTGCCAGCGGTCACAGAAGAAGATACAACAGCTCAAAACATACTTGCAAATCGAAGCACCAATATATTATGTATAGGGGGTATGCTAAAACGAGTAGACCACGGCTTGATTATTTGCATCGACATTGTCGCTGCTGTTGTAGATGTCGCCATCTGCGTCGCCGTCATCGTTATCATCAGCCTCTTCACTATCATTCACAAGACAGTAGTGCAGCGGCGTATTCGTTCTAAAATTTTTTGGACATGGCGGTAGTATCAGAAACGTGATTGACATTGACGTACGATTCATCGAGAAAAGCCTTAGGTCGCACAGGGTTGCTGTTTTCCTCTCGATTCGCAAGCTTCTTCTGCAAATATGTAGCTCGAAACGCAACATTGTTTTCCTTTTCCGCCAAAACATTTCTATGATTACCCCTTACATGAAAAAAACATTTTTCTCAAAAGCCGACGCATACTTCGTACTGGAATGATTTTTTTCTTGCTCATGACTTTTGTCACGTGAGCAGCAATGAGTTGTACAGTAATTGGCCGTATTGCCTTATTTTCGGTGACGACAAACTCTTTGATAACTCCACACAGCTTCGGTGTAGTGTACCTGCTCTGGACGGCGCGCCTCGTCTCAGGAGGCTTCAGGCTCAATTTAAAAACAAAAAGATTTGTATATAAGTGTTAGAAAAGGGTACAATACACTGCAGCTGCAACCGCTTTTGAGCCTCGTTAAACTTCGCTCCGGGATTCTTGTTTCAGTGTGCTATTACACGAGCAACCGTTGCCGCACCAACGTCGAGACAAGCTGCTATACGGTCCCGGGTCCCAACGCCTCCGGATCGTCTAGCTTTTCCTTCTAATGCGAGTTATTCATGTGCCTTCACTATCCTGTGCTTTATCTGCGGAGTGAGAGGTTTGCCGCGACCCATATTTTGGAAGCTGTAGCAGCGAATGCGGCCTACCGCTCTATTAGGACTCTTCCAAGCAATTTAAAGTAAAACTTGTAGCGGTTTCAAGCTAATAGCATCAAAATTGAAAACCTAACTATTATTTCATAAATGTGTTACAAAACACTTTTGTTGTTGTATCTTCTCTCGTGGCCGGGACAATAATCAGTCCGCCAGTAAATGTCTTCATCCGTATCGGATTGATTAAGTAGATACCAAACGTCTCAGCCGACTCATTTTGTGTCCATCCAGCCCACCACTTCACCATGCGCAGTGACCACATCTTCCGGTGGTGCAAACATAAATCGGTTCTGCGCACCAGCCCGACGGAAAGTGTGAGAGGTTAACCATACGTCGCGCCATTGCTGTTGAATATACCCATCTTTGACGTTCCATTACGATTTAGATCTCGTACGGCACAATTAAAGCAAGGTAATAATTGCCTGCTCAGACATCTTCTTACCCCACGCTACGCGTGCGTTCTCATAGCCTGTAAATGGGTCGTCAGTAGTGATAACGCCCTTCGAGATATTGGACAGCGCTAGGAGGATGTAGCTGTTGTCATTCCTCTTGTGATCCGTCTTCGTTTGTACGTACGTCAGCCAGTCGTCAATTTTTTCGAGAGGACGTTCGTTGGTCTTTGAGATGGTGTATGTCGTAGCTTTGACCTTCAGCAACTTCTGTCTTCCTGCATTCAAGCTCGTAGACGCCGTTGGTAATGGACACAGTAAGACCGGAAACCCTCGGTCGTGTGAGACCTAGGATGAGCTCCATGATATTTTTTAGCAGCGCGGACGACAACGCAATGGCTGAATCAATGTCATCACGGGCGGCGAGTCGCAAGCTCAAGGCACTTTTGCCCAGCTGGTCGATGCGCAGTCGATCGCAATGAAGCCGCAGTATGAGTAGTTGAGCATACTGGACGGACCTGCTCAACATCCTACTGGAGGTCATGTCATCGTTGGGCGAATATCTCGGTAATCACCTGACGTTGAGTCGAGTGTTGTAAAGGTGTTTGGGTCCCAAGCAATAAAGCTGAAAACCCCATTAATTTTGCACATGCCATAAAGCGCGAGCGCTGTCATAGCAAGGAACCATATACGACTTGCTTTCGTGAATCCGGTCGTATTTGCCAAGTGGGAGTGGAGTACTCGGAGCAAATCCAGCGTAATGCTGGCGCTACTTAAACTCTATGCTCTTTCGTTTCTTAAGTCCTTGCAAAAGGTGTCGGATAAACACATCCTTGGCTGAATTGCCGAGTTCATACTTGTTACCTTTATCGTCCATCAGTACCATCCATTTCTTAGGCCCTGTTTCGTCTCGGCGAATTTAGCTGCCGTAGTAGTTTGCAGCAGCGGCTCGCACCTTCTCGACGATATGATTGAACGCAGAGGAGAATGGAGATACATTTTTCATAAACGCAGCTAAACGCGAAGGCAGCTCATGCCGTCGAGCCTTTGCTGAATCCGGGCGATACAGAATTCGAAGAGCTTTTTAAAGTACGACGCGTAGACATCCCTGGTTGCCTTTTCAATCACATATGTGGCAGTGGCAATAATACGACCTTCTAGCAAATCTTGGAGCGATGTTCGCCATTAGCCTGAAGTCTTCTGAAGTTGGTCCAGCCAAATGGAGCGTGAGCCAGAGACTCTATGAGAGATGAATTCGTCCGCCAAAAGGATTGTGAGCCTAAGCACAAGATCTTCTCGTTACATATCGAGCATTGGAACTGCAACAAACGATAATAATGAGAGCTAGCTTATAAGATCATTTGTTTTGTTAAGTTACTTTTAGTCTTGTCATAGTACCACTCTGGTCCACTTAGGAATTGACAGATTGTTTTTTG